CATTGTTGTTAAAAAGAACAGACAAGTGTATAAATGTGACAAAGGTGACACAAATAAAGAAGTAATAGTTGCTTTTTTTTAAAATAATTTTTTATGACGAGGAACATTGATTTATTTTGTTTACAACGTTTATTTGGGTACTAATAAATATTTCAACTCCCACGCTAACACATCAACAAATTTAGCATTCCAATTTTACAGATATTATAAATAGTAACTTGAAATGCAATCACAGCTATATTTTTTTTTCATCACACCTCTTCATTTCCTCCTTCTCTTCTGTTTTGTTTTTCCACTTCCCTCACGGATCATCCTCACCCAGCTTAAGTCCACAGAAGTTCAATAAAATATGAAAAATTTCTTTTATTCCTTCCAGTCTTCTTTCTTCAGCGTAAGACGGTGCTCACTGGCAGGACCTCCTCCTGTGTCTCTCCACTTCTTACGTCCGCACACATAAACATGCACACAAATGTGGACAGACACACTCTTTTAGATCACTGAGTGATGTAGCATGGTAGGTTCTTCTCCGTAGGCCCCCATCCATCACACACACACACACAGTCACACACACCCATATAAGAATGAGCACAAACACACTGGAAGCTGTCATGATCTGTACTCTATCAACCACTTTATTAGCCTGCCAGTCTGTGCGTGTGTGTGTGTGTGTTTGTGTGCATGTTAAGAGGCCTCCCAACTGGAAACAGACCCAGAAAGGATACACACCCAACACACACACTTCTTTATTTCTTGTTAGTCTTCCTGCACCTTAATTTGTAACACCTCTAACAACCAGCTCCGCAGCCCACTTCACAGCCACTCAATCTGTCACTGCTCAGTTTCTATGACTGTCCTTTTTCTCAGGGTGAAACAGAGTGTATTAATGTGTGTGTTCATATGTAATTATTTCTCTTTATACCACTTCTATTATCTACATCCACCATGGCCTTGTTTATATATTTAAAAATACATGTACAGCTGTAGAGAAGGAAGTTTTATTTCTACTTTGCGCTTGTTTTCACGCCAGGCTGCCCCCTGCCTCCTTTAAGTTGAACTGCACCCAATCCTCCATACCTTTCTTTTTCTTCGTTTATCTCTCTATCCTTCTTTTCTCTATATTTTCACACAAATCCAATCTAGATCGAGGAAGATCGATACTTAAAAAGAATCTGCTCCTTGTTCTTTCTTTTTCCTCCTTGAAACAATGTTTTTTCCATTTGTTGGCAACCTCCCCAGGACATTAGCAGATGAACCAGGAGAAAGTCTGCCATTCTCTACATGTTTAGAGTGCTTATTTTCCATTTCCCAGAGCCAGAGAAACTTTCGATTCAAAGAAATCTTTCGGCTAACTTTTTTTTGAAAAAGATCCTGCTTAATTGCCTGGTTCCTTCTTTAATACTGGAACCAATGTGTTAGTTTTGTTGGTCTGAAAAATGGCAAATCAGTATGGCTCGCTCATCTCCTATCCTCCAAAAACCTTGAAACAAAAACAAACGTTTCTCTATTTTCTTTGGTCCTCTACCACACGTGTATACAAATGCATGCAAACAAGGGTGTGTTCACACGTTGAACACCACATCAGTGTGCAACGGAGCACTAAGATCACACTTTGTAAAAATATTCCCTCAGAGACACACAATAACCCAGGAGTTATGTCTCACATGCTTCTATCTCAAGCTCACATCAAAATCACAATCACCACTGCACTCCGAGCTGCCATTTCCATTTTCTGTCCTTCGTCAAACAGAAAATAATATATACCTTGTCACCAACGTCTACCCGTACAAGCAACTTTCCGCCACTAATTCAGCCCAGTGCAGCACACACATCCGTCAGATATAACTGGCGGAGGAGAGGGCATGCCGAGACAGCCATTAAAGGTTCCTAGCTGTCAAAGGTTCCCCTTTGTGTTGTGAGGAGAGGTATAAGTGTCGTGCTCTTATCAGAGCTTCCTGTGGAGTTTGCTCTGCATCCTGTCCACTTAGAGCTGCTTCTCTTTCAGTGAAGTCTCATTGTGTCTCTGTGCACATGAATGTGTTGGTGTGTGTCTGTGTGTGCATGCTGTCAAGTGAGTCATTTTGTAATACTGTTCATAGTATAGGTCAAGTTCTGAAATTGCTTTTCTTAAAATGTTTTCAGTGAGAGTAGTACAGTATATCAGTGATGTAGAAGTAAATGAATGTGTGAACAAACATACTAGGTAAGATGGATCTTTGTCTTTTAAAAATACATTATTGTATGAATACAACTTCCACAATCTCAGTGATTAAATATAATTACAAAATCTACAAATACCAAAGCAATAAATAGATGGTTTTACAATAAACCAGTTAATTGTGTATGATCTTTGGTAAAAGATCGAAGGATATTCAAGAGAATCTTTAAGAGGTTGAGATCAAAATAATTTACCAGCTCATTCTCCTTTTGAACAAATGAGAAGAACTGAAAACTGAGTGATAAGATTAAGGCACAGCTACCATACATTCAGCGGAGATGGATTTGGTAATATAAAGACTTTTTCTGATATCATTACAGCTACAGTGTCTGCATTCTAATCACTGAGAGAAGCTTTGGGGAAATCTTTGAGTAGCCGAGTTTTTTTTTCGCTCGCTTTGTTTGGTTGAAATTTGTTCACACGTGGAGTTGATGATTTCCAGCCGGGTCCTCCTCCTCCTCCTCCTCCTCCATGTTACATGTGGATGGAGGAGGTTGAATGGGTGAAAAAAGGTAAAGGTAAATAAACAAACAATCAGCCGCAAGCTTGTTCTGGCTCTCCTTCTCTGTTGCCCCTCATTTGAAGCCTTATAAATCAGGCCTCCACCCCGAGACAGGGTGTTAGCAGGCCTCCCAGACTACACACATACAGGAACACACACAGGTCTGCTGCTCATTAAATCCACGATCAGATCTGTGTGTGTGTGTGAGAGAGAGAGAGTGATGTAGTAGAGTGTGTGTGTGGGGGGGGGGGAACGACAAAATGAGTGGGTATGAATGCAACAATGCCCAACATGTAGACATTGCAGTGTTCACATGTGCCCAAAAAGAAACTAATAACCGCACACATTCTACACCAGCTTTTCTCCATGTGTTCATAAAACACCTAAGATACCTGTTGCAGCTACCTTGTAATCTCATGACAAGTGCACTTTGATTCCACCAGCAGCAGAAAATATATTGGGTGGAAGACTAGGTGTGTGTGTGTGTGTGTG